GGGGGGCAGTTTTCCTTCTCCCCTCCCCTTCCCGAAACCCCGCCTTCTCCTGAGAGGCTGCGGCTTTCTATTGCGCCACTACGGGAATGACCGCCGTATCAGCCAATCAGAGCCCGACTCTTCAAGTAAGACCCGCCCCCTGATAGTCCTCTGGTTCCTTCCCGCTCACACAAGAGTCACTTCCGAAGAGAGAGAACCGCCATGAAGAGAGCAGGGGGTGCCGCCCACCTCTGTTCCGACAGCCTCCCCGAGTCCCAGCAGCAAGACGGCAACCACGCACCCAACTTCTCCAGCCACAGCTCATGCCGCCGTCGCCAGCGGCGCCGACATGACAAGGCGCTGCATGCTCGCTAGGCCAGGTTTCCCCTCATCCCCAGCCCCGGGGTCGTCGCCCCCGCGCTGCCATCTGAGACCCGGTAGTACCGCTCCTGCTGCAGCGGGAAAGAGAACAGAGAGTCCTGGGGACAGGTACAGTGCAGAGGGCTTGAGAAGGGGCCGGGTCGCGGGGGCAAGGGTATGAGGGAGGATTGCGGACGGCTGCTCTTCTAGTTCCCGCCATCCCCCGCGAGCTCAGGCCTCAGCGTTTTGGGGCCTGGCAAACCTCCGCCCCGCCTCCGCGCGGCGGCTTCTGGGAGTTCGAGTTTCCTTTTCTGTAGTTGGGACGCTGTCCTCGGTCTAGTGACCGCAGCCGGGATGGCTACGGAGATCCCGCCTCAGAACGTGATTTTCGTCCTGTATGATAGCTGGACCCGGGGCCCTGACCGGTTAATGCACATCGAGGTGGTTTTCTGTACTTTGCCAGTTGTACTGATCCTAGTGGTTTAATAGTATAAGCCGTTTTTTCTGTGTTGTAGGTGAGAAATTACGTAAGGTGTGATGAGGGAAATCCACAGATCACTTTTGAGTTCAGTATAAACGATAATTCATACGTAAAAGAACATGCACATTTGGAATGTGATGTTTTCTCCAATCCAAGAGGCCAGTTTTTTTATGTAAAGATTTTGTGGGAGCTATGTAAAAAGATGGGGAATTTCTTCAAATGACATCCTCTGACAATAAAACATGTTTAAATTCTCTGCACACTTGGTACTGTCTTTTTTATTTTAAGTTTAAGAGCTTGTAACGTAAGTTTAACAGTAAATGTATCTTCTGCTATTGTAGAACAGGTCCACAGTCCCTTATCTTAATTCTGAAGGTCAGGAAGCTAGGAAAACCAAAAGTTTTCAGTGAGTTTGGCACCACATCTTACTCGGAAGCCAAACCTGATTAGAACTAATGGAAGGCTGTATGGCCTTTATCCCATGAAGTGTAAGTATTCATGAGTTTTGCTGGAAAAATATTAATGTGGTTGCTGCTACAGGGTGCAATATCAGACCCCACTAGGGGCTTTACATACTGCATCGAAGTTACCTGCCTTTCTAAAATCCAGAATTCTAAAATACATTTGGCCCCAAAAGTTTCAGATAAGGGTTTGTGAGCTGTTATAAAATTTTTAACTAGTTATAAATAATAGACATTTCTGTGCATGTGAACTTAAGGAAACATTCCTTGAAAGTTAACGTTCATAGTTATTTTGCGAATACCTTGCATGTTTAACAAAACCATTTTCCTCTCTAGTATAATAATCAAAAAAGAGCCAGGGATCTAATATTTTAGGAAAGAGATATAGTGTTACTTTTAGTAATGAATGTAAAAACATTTAGTATTGTCTTGTTTTGAATTAACTGCTTCTTAATTCTGTCCCATCTCTCTTTTCTCAACCAATAACTGAAGGTATCATCCTTCTTCCCTTTACAGAACCTCCAGCATTTGTTTCTTGACTCTCATGTAGTGACATGTCTCATTTATTGTATGAAAACAAATGCATAGATTCTTCCTTCCATTACTCATTCATTTCATAACTTATTAACTTTCCTGCCAGTATCTCAAACAAACATTGGAGGCTCTCAATAAACCATTAAAGGTGGACATTGCTCTTTTAATGTGATCAGTAAAGTATGTAAGATGAAGAAGAAGCTTAACCATCAAGGGACTTGGATTGTTCGTTTTCTCTGAGCATTCCAACCTCCTAGTGGACAAATGTTTAGGGAAACTCATAGACTTGCTTATTCTCTTTCAATAAAATAATTATATTTTAGCCATATTTGCCAGAAGATTGATTTTTTTGTTCTAGATATAACATCCTTCTTTATGCAGCTGACAAATAACTCTAAAGACATGAACAAATCAGAATACGAATTCTGATAAAATGGTCCTGTTCCACTCTGTGTCCACTGTAGGGTGCAGAAATTTTTTTTAAAAAATGAAAACAATTTGGGTTTTGTTATTCTTGTTAACTTTTCTCTTTGTTTTATTTCCCCCCAGGTAATGTGTTATTTTTGTAAATAACTTAAGAACTCTTAGATAGCCCTGGCTGGTTTGGCTCAGTGGATGGAGTATTGGCCTGCGGACTGAAGGGTCCTGGGTTCAATTCCAGTCAAGGGCACATGCCCAGGGTTGCAGGCTCAATCCCCAATAGGGGCCGTGTAGGAGGCAGCCAATCAATGATTCTCTCTTATCATTGATGTTTCTATCTCTCCCTTCCTCTCTGAAATCAATAAAAATACATTTAAAAAAAAAAAAGAACTCTTAAATAAATTAAGGTTTTTGAGATGCTATGTAGTTGTGAACTCATTCTAATTTCTGCTGTTACTTAGATTAGCATCTTACTGTAGTGTACAAGAGAGTAGTATAAGGTAAATACTTGATCCTTTGTCTTTTGTCAGCACACTCTTAAGCTGCATCCTCAGACCAGCCAAATCAACCCAGTCTACCATCTACTCTTGTGATGAGTCTCTTCAGGTTTTAGTCAGTTTTTACAATCTCCATTATTCATTTAGCAAACACGGATTAAGCGTTATTTTGTATCAAATTACTGAAGTTAATCAAAGAATAGGATCAGATCCCCTCAGTATCTTTTACTTTATGTAGTAGTGAGCTTTTTGAGCCCTAGGAAGCACTCTACCAGTTCTCTGGATCTGCACTCCAATCTTCTCATTTTAGTACTATAGATTATATAAACCTCAGTTGTACTTATAAATTTATTCCTACAGGAAGTGGTGAATTATATTTCCAATTGTTTATAATCAGCAAAGCATTATTGCCATTGTCAGATTTTGATTAAACTAGATAGTGAAATCCAGCCTATAGTCTATAAATCTAGTGTTCTTTACTTATTCTGAATTATTGAGGTTTCAGTATTTGCTTATGTGATTCCATATTAGTTATGCTTTTATTTTCAGGAAGCAGTCAATTATAGATTTCTTCAAACCAACTTCAAAACCAGGTATGTATACTACTAATGCATTTTTTGTGGGATTTTTTTGGAGAGGGAAATGGATTCAGTTCTTAAATCAGCTCTAAACTCATTAATTTGATTAAACAGTTTTAAAAATTGAAAATGAAAATGCAGTTTTTTACAAAGATAAACAATTCTAAGCATCATGAATGAACTTTTTGCTTCTATGTTTTAAAACTTCTAGTCAATTTTCATAATACATTCTGTTTTGACTCTCTAATACAGTAACTTATTTCATAGAGCCATAAGGAGCTTACATGATGTAGCAAAAGGAAGGCTTATGAAAGTAAGGCTGTTAACAATTAAATTGTGTCTTAATCCTACCCCCCATAAAATGTATATTGTTATCTGAATAAGCAATTTGAATTTTGGGGGGGATTAATATTATTCATACTTTAAATATTTATACAAAATAGTTTGTATATTTTTAATAACATGCGATTTGTGTGTTTTAATTGGCTATTTAGACAGACATATGTTGGATTCTCCACAAAAATCAAACATCAAATATGGAGAAAGTGGCTTATCCATCCCTGGGACAGAGCAGTTTGAAAGGAAACTATCCTCGCCAAAAATATCTAAACCCAAAAAGCTGTCATCAGAAAAGAGCTCTATTTTAGAGGCTTTAATGAAAGGTGTTAAAGAGCACCCTAAAGATCATGAGTCATGTCGGCCTTGTGTGTCACTAACCACCAAATGTCCAAAGACACTTACAAAGACTGTCTATATTCCTCCTTCATGTCACTTGTCTAAAGAGATGAAGACACTAAAGAAAAAACACCGATCTCCAGAGAGAAGGAAGTCACTGTACACTCATGAAAATAGCAGGGAGAAGAATGATAGAGATCGAGGCAAGACCAATGCAGATTCCAAAAAGCAGGCCACAGTGACAGAAACTGACATCTTCAAGAACACCTCCAGAAGTCTTAGCAGCAGAAGCAGCCTATCCAGGCATCATCCAGGAGAAAGCCCACTCGGAGCTAAGTTCCAGTTGTCACTAGCTTCTTACTGCAAAGAAAGAGAACTAAAGAAGTTAAGAAGGGAGCAAATGGAACAGAGAATCAACTCAGAAAATTCTTTCTCAGAAGCAAACAGCCTTTCCTTAAAATCCTCAAGTATAGAAAGAAATTACCAACCAAGGCAGGAACAAAGTAAACAGAATGATGTCAGACCTGGAAAGACTAATCTCTCAAACCTGGTATGTAAAATAATTACTGAATTAGCTTAGCTACTGCTTTATCATATTTAGATACTAAATCTAAAAATATTTTAAAATTGTTAACATCATATTGGTATCTCTTATTAAAGAAATACTGATAACACAGATTGTGTAGTAGAAGCTGATTTCATTAGGTTTTGTCCACAGTTGATCAAACTCAGGAAAATAATATTTCCTGCCCTTAATTTTTTAAGTTGTTAGAAATACAAATCTCAGGCCCCACTTCAGACCCACTGAACCAGAAACTGTGGAGGTAGAATTCAGCAATCGGCCATTAACAAGCCTTCTAGATGATTTTGATGCACTTTAAAGTTTGAGAATCACTGGTTTATACTATATATAAATCTTTTTTTAAAATATATTTTATTGATTTTCCACAGAGCGGAAGGGAGAGAGATAGTCAGAAACATCGATGAGAGAGAAACATCGATCAGCCGCCTCCTGCACATCCCCGACTGGGGATGTGCCCGCAACCCAGGTACATGCCCTTGACCGGAATCGAACCTGGGACCTTTCAGTCCACTGAGCCAAACTGGTTTCGGCCTATATCTAAATCTTAAGTAATTGAGTAGGAGTCTTAGCTTACAAAATTATCCAAATACATTTTTTTAAATTTTCATTTAATTTAGTTTTTTTTCCATCACCATTTATCCCCTCTATGCCCTCTTCCACCTCCATCCATCCCCCTTCACATCTTAACCTCATCAGATTTATCTTTTGAGACTAGACCAAACTTAGATCAGCACAAAAGATGAGCCTCATCCCTGGAAAGTCAAGTTGTTAAATACATTTTTTCAGAGAGCTTCTCTACATACAGAGCAAATACAGGAAGATTAGGTAACAGTAAGTGCAATGATGAAAAGTTGCTATGAAATTTGTACACCAGATAGACCAAAAATAAACCAAACTGTGAAGTTCTGGGAGTGAATGGAGATTGCTGCAAGAAAATATATTTATAAACTCTAGGGTTTGCAAGGAGCTTGGTGCCTTTACCGGTGAGATTTGCTAATTATCAATAGAGATTAGTAACATTTGGTCCATTTTTATAAGATTTCAGTGTTTGGTGTTGTATCAGTTCTTAAACAGAAATATTGAAAAGTGAATTGTATCCATTTGATTGGCAAATAGTAAGCCTACTGTTTATCAGAATAATAGTACACTGCTCTAATAAAATTTTAATCCTGAGCTATGAATGTAAATTTCTAAATTTGTGTTATAAAAACTGACCTTATTTTATGGCATTTTTTATATTTTTATGATACAAATGCCCTTTATTTTTGTGATAAAACTTAAGAATTTAAAATATTTTATTATAGAAGCTTGAATTTAACCTTCAAATACACCTTTTTGCTTTATTCAGTCTAGAAATCTTTGTTCAAATGTATGAAGAAAAATTCACATTCTTCCCCCAACTCTTAATGAATTTTATCTCATTTTGCTAACAGGAAAATGGACATCTCTCAAGAAAAAGATCGTCTTCTGATTCATGGGACTCTGCTTCAGGTAAAATCAAAATTAAATTTATGAATTTTAAAATAAATTTGCATTTTAATGGCACTGTTTCTTAAAGCAAATTTGTTTAAGTATGCAGTTTCCTCCTAGAGGTGAATTGAGTGTCGCATTAGTTTAGGGTTTAGTATTATTATATTCAAAAGGAATAGTCCTTGCCCTAACCGGTTTGGCTCAGTGGTAGAGCGTTGGCCTGCGGACTCAGGGGTCCCAGGTTCGATTCTGGTCAAGGGCATGTGCCTTGGTTTTGGGCACATCCCCAGTGGGGAGTGTGCAGGGGGCAGCTGAGCAATGTTTCTCTCTCATTGGTGTTTCTAGCTCTCTATCCCTCTCTCTTCCTCTCTGTAAAAAATCAATAAAAATATTTTTTAAAAAAAGGAATAGTCCTAGAATTTAGTATAAGTAACCAGTGATTTGTCTTGACTCTTCACATTCTTCAATTGTTCCTGTGTTTCTCACATTGGTATTCATTGTTCTTCTGAATCCTTGGCTACAATTAAGAAGCATAATCTTATATTTCTGGAATTGTGGACTATCTGAAGTCTTGGTGTATTAAAGATGCTTTGTATAAGGTTGAAACTGTTATCATGAACCACAATAGTGTATCCTGTATTTCAAATACAAAGATCCCTTTTCAGTATCAAATTTCAAGGGCGCCTACATGATACTAGTTTGTACTTTTAATATCTATTGGTTGACAAAATACATAATAGCAAACAGCTGCTATTAATTCAGTCATTCTTAAAATATCTTTCTCTTTTTTAACTAGACAATAGAACAGTATAAAATTTAAACTGCAGAAATTCATAGCACAAAAAATGAAAGGCCCCCAGAAATAACAACTGTTAATAATTTGATATGACTGTAAACTTTGAAAAATAGACTTTACAAAGTTCCACACTCATGATACTAGCAAACATTTATTGAGCACTTACTATGTGCCATACTCTGTTCTATATCCTTTTAATTTGTTTGAACCTCATATCTGTATAAGATGGTTACTTTTAGAAACTAAAAAATGGAGGTATAGAGACAGTTCTGACTTATCATTCTTCAGTTTTGTGTAAAACTTTTTTATATATTCTAGAGGTGCATTGCATTTGGACCAGGTGACCTCAAGTGTTAAAATGAATCTTCAGCCAAGGCTAAAATCATACTTTACCATTATTAAAGAGCTTCTAGCATCAGTAATAAGATTGAAGTTTCATAGAATTTTTAAAATTTATTTAAATTTTATAATGTTGATTTTGGTGATTTAATTTTAGTCAATTTTGACATTAATAGTACAAGAACAATAATTTCTCAGGTATGGGATTGCTCCTGCACTCAGTGTTTGTAATAATAAATAAATGATCTCTTTGCACCGAGGTAAATGGAAGAACAAAATATTTTTAGGCTAGCTCTTCCAGTGTAAGAGGCTGCTAGTGATGTTTATGCCACCAAGCTATTCAGCTTTTTCCCCCCCTCCGATAATGACTAAGATAAGAATTATCTTCACAGATTTATAGATTTCCTCAGTGGTGACTGTAGTTTTATTTATATAATACCACATACTGAAGTTTTTTAACACTGCCTATTTTCAGAGGCAGACTTAAGATGTTGCCTTCACTTATATTTTTATTTCTAATATGTTTGAATGTTTTTCATAATCCTCACAATTGTGGTATTGTACTCTTAATAAATATACATTTATACTTCAGTTGACTGTCAACCGGATATAAAGGATATTAGGACTCTAAATAGCATGAAGAGTGCTTATCTTTATCTGAATAGAGATTAATAATTTAAACTTATGTCTTGTTCATATTACTACTGTTACACAGTTGTGATGATGCTATGCATAATCACACACAAGTTGAGGGTTTCAGAAATGTTGGCAGCGTAGGCATTTGGCTCTTTGGTCTTCCAGAGCCCCATCCTTTGGCTGAAAGTTCTAAGGTCCAGCTTAATCCATCAATAGTTTATTCCATAGTTTATTAATATCTAATTCCTTATTGAGCATTTGGATTTTTTACTTTACAGACTCAATCACTGTCTTATCTGAGTATTTTATATACTAACTAGAGGCCCAATGCATGAAATTTGTGCAAAGGGGCTCAGCCTTTGCAGCCGCAGCAGCTTGCCTTGGCCCTCACAGCCCCGGCTTTGTCCGGAAGGACATCTGGAAGGATGTCTGGAAGGTCGTTTGGCTGTCCAGTCTAATTAGCATATTACGCTTTTATTATTATAGATACATATTTGAAATATTGTAAAACATTCAATCTGAAGATTACACAAGGAGTGCATAAAGAACCATGAACCCGACTGGCGTGGCTCAGTGGTAGAGTGTCGACCTATGAACCAGGACGTCATGGTTCAATACTCAGGGCACATGCCCTGGTTGTGGGCTCAATCCTCAGGGCGTGTAGGAGGCAACCAATCAGTGATTACCTCTCATCATGGATGTTTCCATATCTCTCTCCCTCTCCCTTCCTCTCTGAAATCAATAAAAAGTTATTTTTATTTCAAACAAAAGAATCATGAACATTTTGCAGTTAATCCATTGCCCTAGTGAGCTTGCAAAAAGGGAGCCTACCCATAGTACCAGTTCACCCTCCTCTAATTCTAGATGTTAAAGCTCTAAGTAAGCTAATTTTTCCTACACTTTGTCCACAAATACTTTTTCTCTTCTGGATAAGTTTTCAGTTCCTGAACAAAGCAGGAATTTCTTCTCATTACTAACTATAATAAATATTTGACTTCTCTAGGAAAATGGAACAAAACTCAAACTGACAGATCTGTAGCTAGCTTTCTTATAACCTTCAAACTTAAGATAATCAATATACATCTGTCCTAAGTGTTCCCTTTTTCTTAGTTATTTGATTTCTTATCCTGCACTATAAGGGACCCCTATCATTTTTTTAGGACATTTAACCCCAGAAAACTGAGTGGACATGAATGATTTCTTCAGGTAATAAGAGATATCTGTAGAAAAATGAAGCATGTATTTAATTGATTTTTTTATTTTTATAAGATGAATTTTCCAGATTACATATTGATCAAGATATACAAATAATTGCTTAACTCAAGGTTTTTATTTTATTTTTTTTCTTTCTAATTTGTTGAGGATTTGGGGACATGGAGGATCTATCCATGTGCAGAAAGAAACTTGATTTAGGGAAATTTGATTTTTGAGAATACTGATTATATAAGTAGTGAATTTTTAATAAATGATAATTTTTTGTTGTTAATCTTCACTGGAGAATATTTGTCCATTTGTTTTTAGAGAGGGGAGGAGAGACAGAGGGAAACATTGATTGGTTGTCTCCCACATGCTCCCCAACCAGGCCGAGGATTGAGCTTGCAACCTAGGTACGTGCCCTTGACAAGAATTGAACCAGGGACACTTCAGTCTCTGGGCCAACACTCTCTCCACTGAGCCATAGTGGCTAGGCTATGAATGATGAATTTTAAGAGTTAATTAATGAAACCACATTTTTAAGCAATAAGAAATGTTTTAAAACTGGTTAACTCTAATATATGTGGCTATTAAATTGCTTCTGGATGGAACTGCTAACACAGCTTATATTAGTTGTCTAGGGCTGCCATAAATACCAAAGCATAGGTGGCTTAAAACAGAAATTTATTATGTTATGATTCTAGAAGCTAGAAATCGAAAGTTAAGGATATCAGTAGGCCATGGTCTCTCTAACAACTCTAAGGGAGGATCCTTTCTTGCCTCTTCTAGCTTCTGGTGTTTGCCTACAATCTTTGGCATTCCTTGACTTATAGATGCGTCACTCCAATCACAGCATCTTCTCCCTGTCTATCTTTATGTCATCTTTCCTCTGCATGTATGTCTTCATGTCCAAATTTCCCTTTTTATATGGACACCAGTCATATTGGATTAGGACCCACCCTAATGACATTGGAATTTGATTACCCCCTGTAAAAGGTCACATTCTGAGGTTCTGGGAGTTAGGACTTCCACATATCATTTTGGGAGCCACGGTTCAACCCATAACATAGCTAAAGACTAGAGCGACACATGGGAAAGGATAAACAAGTACTAGGGAGAAAGACAAATTTTTTAAATTGAGAACTTAAAATATGTCTGCCTTCAACTAGTTACCATATGTGTGTTTTTAAGGTCATATAAATTTAGATATAGAAGTGTTACATTTCTGGAACCAGGTAGTCCTTGGTCTAATAAAAGGGTGTATGCACTTTGAGGGAAAGTGCCTTTGTAACCCTTTCCTTGATACAAATACACAGTTTTTTATGTTTTGGAGAGTCACACCTTTAATCCTATTTAGGCAGTAAACTTTTAATAGTTTTGGAATGAAAATAAGCATTTGTCATTAGCTTTATTTTTCTTGAACTCACCAGTGTTTATCAGTTAAAAAGTAAATGATAGTATTAACTCTTTTTCTTCATTCCATATGTGGTAAATAATCTCAGCCTAAACTTTTAGAATGTAAACATTTGGCAGGTTGTTCTAAACATTGAGTAAACTTTACCAAGATAGAAAAATATGTTTTCACTAATCTGGCAAAAATTAAATTTTAGCAGGCTCTAAGCAGAATAAATTCCCTGACAAAAGAAAAAGGAACTCTGTGGACTCAGATCTGAAAAGCACAAGAGAATCTATAATGCCAAAAGCAAAAGAGTCCTTCCTTGAGAAGCGTCCTGATGGACCACATAAGAAAGAGAAATTTATAAAACACATTGCACTGAAGACACCTGGTGATGTATTGCGCTTGGAAGATATAGCCAAGGAACCGAATGAAGAAGCTGACCGCTCCACTGCAGGCTTGGCACCTTCAAACTCTGGCCACCATTCTTCCAGGAATAGTGACCAAGTCCGTGTGGCAAGTACCAAAGAGACTAAGATGCAGAAACCCCACTTATCTTTACCTCAGGAAAAGTCTACAGTTAAAAAAGCTAGCAACCTTCAGAAAAATAAAACTGCTAGCTCCGTGGCATCAAAGGAGACAAAACTTTTACCTTTACTTTCCCATGATCCGAGTGCTGGTTCCTCTCGGGTACCATTAAATTCTAAAAAAGATAAAGAACGTTCTTCATCTAAAGAATGTTCTGGGCATTCTACAGAGCCCTCCAAACACAAGGAACACAAAGCAAAGACTAATAAGGCTGATTCTAATGTATCTTCAGGGAAAATTTCAGGGGGATCTTTGCATTCAGAATATGGCACTCCTACAAAGTCTCCCCCGGCTGCTTTGGAAGTTGTGCCATGTATCCCAGCACCTTCAGATAAAGCCCCTTCAGATAAAGAGAGTTCAGGAAATTCTAATGCAGGTAGCAATGCACTGAAAAGAAAACTAAGGGGTGGTTTTGATAGTGATGAAGAAAGTTTAGGTTACAACCTAGACAGTGACGAGGAAGAGGAAACATTAAAATCCCTGGAAGAAATAATGGCTTTGAACTTCAATCAGACTCCTACATCTACAGGAAAGCCTCCTGCTCTTTCCAAGGGGCTTGGATCTCAGTCATCAGACTATACAGTAAGTAGTTCTATAACATTTATCTTTACTTGAAGAGGGAAAGATGAATTGATTATGAAAGAGGGATAGAATGTTAGAACTTATTTTAAAAGCCAGTATTTGTTATGAGTCATAATTGGTCTGAAACTGATAGTTTTTGTTTGGTTAATGGGTTTCCCATATCTTTAGTTTTATTACTGTAAATCAGTGGTCTCCAAACTTATTTGATCACACACACTTCTATTAGTAAAACAATTTTAGAGCATGCACCCCAATGTATATGTATACTTATAGGTTAATACATGTATCACTATACTATGTATTTTCTAACGAATATGCAAAAAAATTTAAAGGAAGAAGAAAAAGGTATTTTCCTATAGACTTTATGTAGAAGTTACTATAGACTAAGTTCTACTGGAGTTTCTATAGAAGTTCCATGTAAATAGAAGTTCTATTATTTTCTTCCTGCACCCCAATGGATCACCTTGCACACCCCCTGCTTTGGAGACCACTGCTGTAAATGAAGGTAGAGTGTAGAATGTTGTTAATTGTGGTGTGCAATTTTATTTATAAAGTGCTTCATTCTATCTTGGGAATAAGCTGAATTAAATTCTAATATGTCTGTAAAATTTGGTGGGGAAGGTGTTAATGTTCATGGTAACACCTAAATATTAGTTTTCTTACCTACCAGACTCAAGGGACTCCCTAAAAATTAGTTTGATTCCACTAAAATAGGATTTAAAAATAAAGATAGGGTAGCCATGGAGCCTTTGGGTGTTTGGCAGTCAGTTCCTAAGGCTAGCAGAGTTTTTTATAAGTAGTGCCTTTCCTAGTAGATGGCAAAATCAAATTGCCTATAGTACAAAATACTAGATTTAAAGCATGATGATGAAAATTCTCTTTTAAGAAAGGTATTCTCCTGGCCCAGGTTATTGAAAGAGAGAATATTCTTTAGTACTCTGAATAACTTAAAACATCCCAATTCTTCTACTAAGATATGTTATAAAGTATTCCTAAAATTTCTTCTTGTTTTAGGAACATGTTCATAGTGGAACTTATACAAATACTCTAGAGCGTCTAGTGAAGGAAATGGAAGACACACAAAGGTTAGTTAGCATCATGACTACCTTGCTAAATTTAACATGCTGACTGTTTCAGAAATAAGGTATTCTTGTTTATAGTGTGGATCAGAGGCTCCAGCTTTTTATGGTATACTCCATTAACATAAATTTCTTTCTGCTTACCACAACTAGTACCTAACTGATAGCTGAAATTCTTGATCAAAAGCATTAGTAGAGCCCAGCTGGTGTAGCTCAATTGGTTGAGTGTCAGCCCATGCACCAGGAGATTGCCGGTTCTATTCCTGCTCAGGGCACTTGCCCAGGTTTTGCGTTCGATCCCCAGGAGGGGGTGTGCAGGAGACAGCCAATCGGTGTTTCTATCTCTCCCTCCTTCCTCTCTCTGAAATAAATAAAAACTTTTTTTTAAAGCATTAGAATTTTTGTGGGTTTTTTATTATGATTACATATATATATCATAAAATTTACTGTTTCAATCACTTTAAAATGTACAGTTCATTAAGTACATTTATATTGTTGTGTAATCATCACCACCATCTAGCCCTAGAACTTTTTTTTTTTTCATATCCCTAATTGAAATCCCATATCCATTAACCAATAACTCCCATTCCCTGGTGTAACTATTCTACTTTCTGTCTCTATGAAATTGACTATTCTATATACCTCATATAAATAGGATTATAAGCATTCGTCCTTTCATGACTGGCTTATTTCCTTTAGCATATCTTCAGGGTTTATTCATGTAGCATGTGTCAAAATGTCCTTCCTTTGTAAGGCTGAATCTATTGTATATAGATACCATATTTTGTTCATCAGTGGGCACTGGGGTCGCTTCTTGTTTTTTGACTTGTAAATATTACTGCTATGAACATGGATATACAAATGTCTCTTCAAGTACCCGCTTTCAGTTTGGGTTATTTACCTAGAAGTGCAATTGCTGGATCATATGGTAATTCTATGCATAATTTTTTGAGGAATTGCCATACTGTTTTACATAGTGGCTATACCATTTTATATTTCCACCAGCAATGCACAAGGGTTCCAGTTTCTGTGTATCCTTACCAAGCCTTGGTATTTTCTGTTTGTGGTTTTCTTTTTATAATAACCAACCAAAGGAGTATGAAGTGGTTATCTCATGGTTTTGATTTGCATTTTGCTAATGAGGTTGAGCATCTTTTCATGTCTTTATTGGCATTTTTGTAGCTTCTTTGGAGAAATGTCTGTTAAGATCCTTTACTTATTTTTTAATCGGATTGTTTGTTTTTGTTGTTTGCATAGGTAAAAAAATTTTTAATGTTTATGCCTGCCTAGTCCAGGTTTTGACACCAGACCTGTTATTTATACACCAAGCTACTCTTGTGAGGAAGAAGTTTAGTTTTGACTGACACCTTCTACATGCACACACAAAGAAATAAAAAAGTTTGAGAGTCATAATAACCCCAGTGAAATTTATGTGACTAATTGCAAACTACTTTTGCTAATGAGAGGAGGTAAATATATTCCTTATTAGTTCAAAGTATATCCTTGAAATGAGCTCAGAGAACTTCACTAAAAGCTCAACTGGCTTTAAGATGTTATATATGTGTCTCAAACCTGATAACTAAATATCTAGATATAGGAATTGCAGATACTACGTCAGAAGTGTTCCCCTTGCCCTGATCGGTTTGGCTCGGTGGATAGAGCATCGGCCTGCAGACTCAAGGGTCCCAGGTTCGATTCCGGTCAAGGGCATGTACCTTGGTTGCAGGCACATACCCAGTGAGGGGTGTGCAGGAGGCAGCTGATCGATGTTTCTCTCTCGTTGATGTGTCTAACTCTCTATCCCTCTCCCTTCCTCTCTGTAAAAAAATCAATAAAAAAAAAAAAAGAAGTGTTCCCCTTTCTGAATATAATTGGAGGAATTGTTTTTATTATAAACTTATTTAAATGTTTCATGAATTCATGTTACTTGCGATGTCAAATCTGATGTTGCTTATATAAATTGAACATTGCTCATACCAAAGGCAGAGATGCTAGTTTGATCTGATGATTGACTGTTTCCTGCAGTAATAGAGTAGTACATTTACTGGTCATTTATTGTTATATTACACTCATCTACTATGGGGCTGGAGCTGGGAATAAGGACCTCGTTAAAATAATCTTGGTGAGTAATATAAGCAAGGAAGGACTTAAATGCTAGACTCTGACTTTGAATTCCAGCTCCTCACATTGTCAGCTTGAGTAAGTTAGCTTTTGTAAGGCCGTTTCCTCATGTATAAAATGGGTAATCATGAATTACCACATGGGGTTGTTGTGAGGGTTAAAAAAAGTCAATACATAAAGTTAGTATAGTGCCTGTCACATAGCAAGTACTTGGTAAGAGTTAGGTGATATGATGATGTTGATGATGGTAATGATGATGATGCAATAATGACTACTGCTGCTAGAAAACCTAGTTAACAATATTAGGTTGTTGGTCTACTGGAAGTCAAATGAGCATTAGAGATTAAACATTGAATTATTCTTTGCCATTTTTTCCTTCCCCTTTCTCTAAATGATTTGGACATCATTCTTGAAGTCCTAGCTATAAAGTAACATTCAAGTCTTTTATGTGATGGAGTACTATTCTAGTACTATACTGTAACTGGATAAAAGTCTAAGACCTAAAATAGATTTTTTTGTGTATTTAATGAAAATAATATATACTGTATTGTATTATCATGAATTATTTGGGAGACATGATTTAATCCATAGTGTAAACAAAGTTTGTCTTATAACAGTATCTATATCTATCTATCTATATAAAAGCCTAAGCGACTGACCAACTGGCCAGTAGCTGTGACACGCAATGACCACTAGGGGGCAGACGCTCCAACTGGTAGCTATGATGCGCACTGACCACCAGGGTGCAGAAGCTCAGTGCAGGAGCTACTGAGCTGCGGTGACTTAGCAGCTGTGGTTCTTGGGTGACGCACCCGGAACCAGAGAGAAGGGAGCCCAATTCCGGGTTGCGTCACCGAGAACCACCCTCTCGCAATCCAGGACCCTTCAGGGGATGTCAGAGAGCCAGTTTCGCCCGATCCCCACAGGCCAGGCCAAGGGACCCCACCCATGCACGAATCCATGCACCGGACCTCTAGTACTTAATAAGAGTTTTACTAAAGTTTGTTTTTATTTTTAGGGCAAACCATTTATTATAACATTCTTTCAATTCTCAGGCTAGATGAACTACAGAAGCAACTACAGGAAGATATTAGGCAGGGCCGAGGCATTAAATCCCCAATCAGAATTGGAGATCAAGACAGTACAGATGATGAGGATGGCCTCTTAGAAGAGCACAGGTATACTGGTTTTTCATAATATATACCCTGTTAAGTTTATACATTTTTAAGTTTTATCTTTATAAAATAAATGGACAATTGATGGTTATTCACTTGGTGGCTAATCTGTGATGGATTTGAAAGGCAAATGTTAAGGCCAAGTTATATCATTTGTCTTTTCTCCTGTTTGTTGTTTCTTTTCACACACATTTAGTGGCTTTGGACTAATAACTAGCAAAAAGTATGAGGAGCAAAACACATGTTTTCATGCCAGTCTTCTAATCTAGGATTACATTGATCCTAAGAAAAGTTTGCTTTACACTCAACTTTTAAATATAAATTTAAATGCAATATAACTTTGTTATTCAATAACTTTTTTTAATTTCAGGGAATTTCTAAAGAAATTTTCAATTACAATTGATGCTATTCCTGATCATCATCCAGGTGAAGAAATATTTAATTTACTCAATTCCGGAAAAATTTTCAATCAGTATACCTTGGATTTAAGAGACTCTGGTTTTATTGGACAAAGTGCTGTAGAAAAGCTTATTCTTAAGTAAGTAGAAAAACATTTTACTTTTTCACATATAAAAATTACTCTAAGATTCTGACTGATATAATCTTCTAAAAGGTTAATTTCTATTGTGACCTATCCAGTTTTCTTACTTCTCCTCTTTATTACTATTGCCCTTTGTGTTTTATTATTTAATTATAGGAAGCAGTGTAATATAGTCGTCTGGCACATCACATGCCTTTATTAGGATGAGATCTTACCAGGTGTACCGGTTAATAATGCAGATTTTGTAATCAAAGAAAACATGATCATTTCAAGAGAAACATCAAAAGTGCTTTATTCGAAGTAATGTCCATCGCTAGCTACACACTTCCCCCATCTTTCAGGTAATTTGTGGACACCGTCCCAATAGAACTTTTCTTGTTTTGAGGCAAACCATTCAGAGACCCAATTTTCCCCTTCTTCGTATGTTTTGAAGTGCTGCTCAGAAAGTGCGTGTGCTATCGATCGGAACAAGTGGTAATCTGAAGGAGCAAGGTCTGGTGAATATGGCTGGGGGGGTAATACTTCCCAGGCAAGATCTTTTAATGTGTTTTTAACTGGTTTTGAAGTGTGTGATGGTGCATTATCATGAAGCAAAATTACTTTGCCTTGTCTTCTGTCCCATCTGGTCATTTTACGATCAAAGCGTGCTTCAAATTGATTATTTATTGTCGGTAGCGATCAGTATTAATGGTTTCACCTGGTTTTAGAAGCTCATAATACACCACACCTTCCTGATCCCACCAAAAGCAGAGCATTGTCTTCTTTCCAAAGCGATTTGGCCTTGCGGTCGATGTTGATGGTGGACCTGGATCAACCCATGATTTTGTGTTTCTGGGATTCTCAGAATAAATCCACTTTTCATCACCAGTCACAATTTGATGCAAAAAAGTCTTTCTTGCCATTGAAGCAACATTTTACTCATGACTTTTCGGTTTTCCATTTGTCTTTCGTTTAGTGGATGTGGCACCCATCTTCCTTCCTTTAAAATCTTTCCCATTGCTTGTAAACGATCGGAAATTGTTTGCTGAGCAACGTTTAATCTTCCTGCAGGTTGTTTTTGAGTTTGACATGCATCTTCATCCAATAATGCTTGTAATTGTTGGTCTTCAAACTTTTTTGG